GCTCTTGGTTTGGAAGGTCCCAGAGCCGGGCAATGCATCATTACCTTCACATCGGCTCCTTTCTAGATACCGCCTCCAATGTGTGGGCTAGACTAGTTGCCCACGTTCACAGTCCTTCGAGAAACCCGGAGGCTGCATGGCTGAAACACTGTCAATTTGAGCCTGTAGTTATCTGGGAGATGGCAAAAGAGACTGAAGCTTGGGACCCCTGCCTGCCTCCTGTCATTACAGTGGTGGGGATGGAATCCAGGCCTGTGCATGCCAGGCAAGTTCTCTGCCACTCACTACCCACCTAGTCCCTTGGTGTTTTGAGGCTGGCTTCAAACTCACAATCCTCCCGCCTCTGCCTCTGAGTACTTAGATGACATGCTTTTGTGCCACCATGCCCTGCTAATTATGAGACTTTCTAATATGTTTAAATATGTGCTGCCCCTTTGTTTCCTCTTGCTTTTTTAAATTTTTTTTTCTTTTCTGGCTCTTTTTGTCTTTTTTGTTCCTACAAATAACATTTATGGTCAACTTACCTAGCTAAAGGTTAAAGGAACTGGAATAAAAATTAGAATTGCATTAAATTTATAAATTAACTCAGGAAGGCTGCTGGCTTTAAGTTTAGGTACACAACATTTCTTTTCATTTGTTCAAGACTTTGGGTTTTTAATCATTGTTTCATTATAGAATTTGGGTATTTAAGTTTCTTCAGAGGCATTTTATATTAGAGTATGATAAATGAATTTATCACTTCAGTTATATATATGAATAGCATTTTTTTGGTGGAATTCTATAACCTGTGACTTCATTAAAGCTTACTGTTGGTTGTACAATTTTTACAATGATCTCTCTGGGTTTTCTAGAAAGAACCAACATTTTTCTCCTTCTTCCTAATTCTTACACTCATCTTTTCTATTCTGATCGCATAGGCCACCATCTCTGACCAGTGTTACATTGTAGCAGATATCTTTGCCTCAATTCTAATTTCCCAAGTGGGCCTCTAGTGCATCTTCTTTAGAGATATTTTATTATGTCAAAGACATCTCCAAAAATCCTCATTATTATGAGAAACTGAGATGTACAGACATCATCATAGAAGCCGGTTCAAGGTCATGCAGGTGGCAAATGCAGGGTCTGAGGTTGGGACTGTCTGGTTTCAAAGTTCCTGGTCTTTGTACTACTTGTGTTTTTCATTACATGGACCAACGGGTCCCTCATTCTTGACATGAGCCTCACATTGCAAGGTTACCTAAGAGACTTAGGAGTGACTGAGCAGGGTGTGTGAGAAGGGCTTGGAGAGGGGCGCCTGGTACAAGTTTGTCTCTTCTCTGCTTTCTTCAGCCATTCTTCCCCCAGATAGACTCTAAGTAGCAAAACAAGAGCTCGTAGGAAATCAGAAGTTTCCCTTCTTAGGAAACAACTTACGACTACGCCTAAGTAGCAGCCTCATGTTTCCTTTCCTCCCTGACTTACTGAAATATTCTTCCAATCTTATTGTCCCGAATATATGTTCCTCTATGCCATGACATTTCTAACCACATTGTAGTGTCCTATAAAGCTTAGCTGGCAGTCACTGAGACAGAGGGATTGCTTCAAGTTTGAGTCCAGCCTGGGCTTACATAGTAATTGCCAGTCTAGCCAGGACCCTGTATCAACAAACACAGTGCACACATGTGCATACACAAGTGTGTGTGTGCATTAAACAAGGAAAGGGAGAGCAATGGAATGTTTTTCCCCTTGGGAAATAAATATATTTAGGCTTTTGTAGATGTTAAAACAGCTCAGAGTTCTGTTCTGCTCCTCACACCTCCTCTCAGAGAGGACAGGTTGTCAGTCAGTATTGCCTTTTTCACCCAGTGGGTGTGATCAGTTCTCAGTGTGGTTGTGACACCAGGCCCGCAGCTTCCATGGTGAGAGAAAGGGGCCTGAACTGCACCCTCAGGCTTCTGGCAGTTTCTCCAAACAGACAAATCTCCAGTGTGCAGGCTGTCTCTCCAAGGGGGAGAAAATAGGGCCACGACAAGCCCACTTTAGAACCCCAATTCTCAGGCCTTCCAATAATTTTGATTTCTGTTTGCCCTCTCCCTGTGGAGAGCCAGTGTCCCTCCTCCACATTTAATCTCTAGATTTCCACATCCCCTCTCTTCCCCCGGCAGTTTCTCCCTCATCCCGGCTCAGCTCCTCGCTTGTGCACTGACATTCACTAAGCCAAAGCTCCTTGGCTGTTCCCTCTGCAGCTGGGCACAGGGACGTCTCTCAGTGCAAGCTCGTGTTTGGCTATGGAGGAGAAAAGGATTTGCTGCTGCTGCTGCTGTTGCTTCCAGACCTAGTTACTGGCATCATCTACTTGATATGAAAAATCGGGAGCACAGAGCCGCCTCCTGCTGGACCAGGAGTTGGATTTCCTGGTCCTCTTGGGTCTCAGAGGCCGCCACCTGGGAATTTCCCTACTTGCTTCCACTGCTTAGCAGGAGAAGGGGCCTGAGTGGTTCTAAGGCTAAGGAATCAAGAGAGTGAAGCTTAAAAATCGAGGAAGAGAACAGGGAGGAGGAGGAGGAAGAGGAGGAGGAGAAGAAAGTGTCTGTTCATATCTAGGTGTTCACAGATAGGTTAGAGGAAAATGGCTGCCATTTTGGACTTTGACCACCAGGAGCAGAAGCAGAAGTCTTGGTGTCCTTTCTTCATAGCTGTCTAGTCTATAGGTTATAGAGTTGCTGGATTGTGTAGACATTATTCAATCCAGTTTATAGATGAGAAACTGAGGCTCATGCGTTTTAGAAGATTTCGTAGCCAGTTGCGATGTCTACTCACTAGGCTCTGGCTGAACTTTCTAACCATGCCATTGAGATGTCTGGCACGTGTCCCTCCTGGCACGTGTGCGTGGCATCCAGGTGTCATACTGTCCAGCGTATGCTGCTGAGCTGGAATATCTGGGATGTTCTAGGAGTTAATACGTCATACATATTTGAAAGCAAGATAGTTGTGGGGACTCCCTGAGGAGCGGCTACCTCTAGGACAGGCTGAGAGGCCCTGGATGTTTGAGGCTCTCCCTCACAACTTGGAGGTGTGGGTAGAACATCTGCAGCAGCCAGAAGGATAGCATTGTACCCTCCTCCTCTGGGGGGGGGGAGGGAGGGAGGGTGTTGAGAACAGTGAAGAATCAGCATCATGGGTTGAGATGGGGACTCCATGTATGCCCCTGCTTGACATCACCCAACCATACATGAACAGTTTGTAACCTTTCAGGCTGCATGCCTGACTCCAGGGAGCAAATGGGATTTGGCTGCATCTGGCTGGATTAGAGACTGATGATTTAGTGTGTGGGGATCCCAAGGCCAGCATTTGGGGAGGAAGGGGAGAGATAAGTCAGCTACCCACAGAGGGACCAGTTGAGATGGGCAATGGCGGTGGGATTCCAGCCTTGAGACCACAGCTTGCAGGCAGAACTGATGGATGTGCTTGGAGCCCTGCAGAAATTATCCCAGAGAATAGGTCACAGCCCTGACCCAGGTGAGGAGGAAAGGAGGCCTCTGCATCCCTGCCCAGCAAGATGGCTGTCCGCTATATGTAGTGATCAGAAGGAATAAAACCCAAGAAAAGCAAAAATGTCAAGTTCCCAGTCCCACACCCCAAGGGCTCGGTTACCAAAGAAGCTGTTGTGTAGGTATTTTTCTGAATTGAAGTGTAGTCCCTTTGTGGGGGAGGAGGGCAGTTCCTAAGATCCAGAGAGCTTAAGGAAACTTACAAAGCTCAGCAAATTATTAGATTCACCCCCCTCTGCCAGTTATATATGCAATAAACCCTTGTTGGGGAAGGGAGACTCTTCCTTATAGCTGCCTACAAATTGGGCAAGGGGCTGCAGGGGTGCAGCTAACATGAGCATTACCATGCACTTTGCAGGGATGCAGCTTCCTCTGATTCAGTTATGCTCCTGTAAGGAACCCCTCACCCATGCTCTGCTAAGTAACCCCAGTGAACTAACTGGTCACCAGGCTAGACTTGGGTAGAATCTTTGATCTGTTGGTAGTGCCCTGTCTGAGGTGAAAGCGTACTTGTTCATGTCTTCCGAGGAGAAGTCACAGCCAAGACTAAGACATTTCCATCGCCCAGAAAGTTCTAGTTAAATCTAAACTGTTGTGCTGGTATTTTTATATTGGTTTCATGCTGAAATAATTTTTGCTATATTGAGTTAAGTAAGATAATATTAATGCCAACTTCACCTGTTTTTACACACACACACACACACACACACACACACACACACACACACACACGTAGTAGGAAATTGAAAATTACCAGTATGGTCCATATTCCCATTGATCCCATATACCCATTATATGTAGATACAGGAGCACACCTTCATTTAGTCATCATTTAAAACAGCACATCCATTCAATGGGATTTGGTTCTATGATGGCTTGAAAACCCTTTACAGTAACAGTGACAGAGGCAGTCCCAGATAATAGGTCAAATGCAATTTTGAGGAAAGAAAATCCAGGTTCAGATATTGGCTGCATATTTCTATTACAGTGGTTCTCAACCTTCCTAATGCTGTGACCCTTTGATACAGTTTCTCATGTTGTGGTGACCCCCAACCATAAAATTATTTCATTGCTACTTCCTAACTGTAATTTTGCTACTGTTATGAATAATAATGTAAATAGCTAATAATGCAGGATATCTGATGTGAGACCCCCAAAGGGGTTATGCCCCACAGGTTGAAAAAAAAAAAACTGCTGCTCTACTAGCTTGTGAAGTTGGGCCATGTACACAGTTTTCTTATTTGAAAAGTGTATGCAATGATAGTTTGGTCGCAGAGCACTGTTGGGATGTTTTGGGGGTGATGGATGCACTATGCCTAGGGGGTCCTGGCCCTTAGTCAACCTCAGTGAATGGCAGCTAATGTCACCATCAGATCCCCAGCAGTTTGGAGATGAAAGAGGTCAGCTTTCCCAGCCTCAGATTACTCACCACTTTTCCTGTAACCTTCCACATCCCCTCTCAGGGCTCTATCAAGCCTTTAGAGACAGAGCTGGAGGACTTACCTGCTGGTAGCTGCTGGCCCAGGAGGCTCGGAGGGCATCCCAGCCTCCAGAGCGCGTGGCCTTGCTCTCCAGGTGAGCCCGCAGTTGTGTTTCCAGCTCCTGGCTGACTTGTTCCAGAGCGTGCACCTTGGCCATGTATTCCACTAGGCAGCCCCCCAGGTCTTCCACAGCAGCGTGATCCCTTTCTGGGCCGGGAGCAGGCACAGTGGCAAGGCCTGAACTCCGTAGGCCCTGCAGGAAGACACTGCTGATGCCCAGGGCCCGGCGCGTCACTCGGGCACCAAGGCCACCTACGCACCCACTGGGTGCTACTCCTACATAGACTCCAGGCGCACGGATGAGGCTACCCACAGCACTGGTCCTGGATCCTGGGGGGCTCTCCAGGGAGGATGGAGATCGTGTCCCCCTGAGGGACACCCTGTGCCTCTGTAGGGGCATGTTGGAGTTGGCTCCAGCGGGCAAGTCCACTGCCACTCTCCTCTCGCTCATCATTCTCTCTGCCTCTGTGGTGCCTGGCAGGGTTACAGGGTCCAGTGGCTTTTGGTTGCTAGCCCCAGCATCCTCATGGCCTGGTCACGGGCCTCTCTGGAAGCTCCCCTGCCCCCATGTTCTTTGTCTATGGCCTTCCATGAGCTTCTGTCATTCACTGAGCTGGAAGAGGACCTCCCCACCAGCCTGTGAGAGGCACACAGGCATTCTCTGATGCTGGGTCATGTGCCCAACCATCCAGACTTTTCTGCTGGGGGGAGGGCGCTGGACCACTGCAGACTGTGGGAATGGGTCATCTAGATTTGCCTATTTCTTTTTAGACAGGGTCTCTAACTGAGACTAGCCTCAAAATTCCTAGGTAGCCAGAATGGCCTTGAACGTCTGATCTTCTGCCTCTAATCCCTGCGATAGAATCCAGGGTCTCACACATACTAGGTGAATACTCTATGGACTCTATATCACCAGTCCTTGGGTTTGTATGTCACTGCCATAGTGAAGGGCAGGCAGGCAACAAGCAGTTTTGTTTCACTGGTGAGGAAACAGGCTTGAGGACCTTAGAGGAGAAGTGTACTGAGCACCTCATCCAGATCTCACATCACAAGCTGGGACTCAGTGTAGCGGCCTCAGGACCGATCGTGGGGCTTTCTGCATACCTTCATGTGCTGAGGTAGGGGCGTGTGTGTGCATGTGAGTGCACATCCACACAGGATCGGAGGACACACACGGATGTGAGCCAGCCATGGAGGAAGGCAGCCCCAGAGAGCCAGGGGAAGCACAGCAGGCCTGCTGCTATCCTCTCCCCTCAGGTCTGGCAGCCGTTCCAGCCCCCTTCGAGCTTTTCTCTCCCCTCCTCCTCCTCCTCCTCACATCTGCCCTCTGACACAATGCTTGTCAGCTGCTGGCCCTCGGCCATGTTTCTCCTCCTCTAGACCTGCTGTACATCTTCCTGATTACTAACTTGGACACATCAGACACTCTGGAGCCAGTTTAGGACCTGAACTGCTGGGCGGCTGTTTGTTAGACTCTGTTCTCTTTCCCACCTCTGTCTCCCCCTCTAATAAGACCAAGAAGTGAAAACAAGGAAGCATTTTCTGGAAAGCACCCGTGGGTGCCACAAGTTAGGGTTTGCTGGGCACCCCAGGTTTTAATCCTTGCCTGTGGCATACTCTAAGTCACACTGTCAACTGTCATATCCCAATCACTTCTTGGGGGTTAGAATGTTCTCTCCAGCCTGGGCATGTACTGAGGTTTTAGTGTACTGAAACTAGGCACCCCAGATCTAGAGATGGACATACTCCTTGATCCTGTAATGTGAGGATGGACCCTAGGCAGGAGAAGGGAACAGGAGTTAACTTCTGGTAGGTACCAAGTGCACCCCAATTCTGAGCACAATTCCACTGTCTAGCTCACTGACTTTTCACTCCAACTTGAAGGTAGGAAAGTATAGTGTGGACAAGTACTGCTGTTAGGGTGCACATTGTTCAATTCCAGAAGTATTATAGATACCGTTACTTCCCTTTATGACAAAAGACCCCGAGACCCCATGTCCGGAACTTAGCAGAGCTAAGAAAGCCTCTCTGTTCCAGGGACTTACATAGGTTGTCACTAGCGTCTGCCATTGCCAGGGCACACAGGTCCTACTCATCTGCTACAGCACTATGTGTACTTTTATTTTCTGTTTATGAAAACTGCAACCTTTCCCATTCTTTGTTTACTTAGGACAATGTAGGAGGTACTTGGCTACTTTCGTGTGTACACGTGGAGGCCAGAGATCAACTTTAGGGGCATCCATGGGGCCTATCCACCTTACTGTCTCAGACAGGGTCTCTTATTGGCCTGGAACCTACCAATCAGGCTATCCTTGCTGGCCAGTGAGCCCCAGGGATCTGCCTGGGCTCTGCCTCCTCCGTGCTGGGGTTAGAAGCATGTGTCACAACACCCAGATATTTTACATGGGTTCTGGGGATCAAACCTGGATCTTCATGATAGAAGGCACTTTCCTAAGGTATCTCCCCACCTCCCAGGAGATACTTCATTAAATATCAGTGTTGGTTATTTGCTTAACAGATTAAGGAGCCAATGGAATCAAGGAAAGGGCAGTAGCTTACAGGCCTTAGCTTACATAGGTATGGCACTCTTCCTATGAATGCCATCTCTGCGGCTCCCATGGTGCGCTGGTAACAACCTTCTAATACAGGTGGTACTGCTGGGCCCCAGGGAGCTCCATTTCCGTCAGTTCCAGGATGTGTTATTCAAGGCTAATGAAGGGTTCAAGCTACTGACTGTAAAGGTGTCATGTGGTCTAGGCACTGTTACTGCCCAGGGAATGGAAATGATCAGTGGTTTTGGACACACTCAGACTCAGAGGCATTTATTTCAAATCTGCCCCGTCCCCTGGAGATGGGGACAGGCAAGGGGAGGCAGCTCAGTGGACACCAGTCTTTCAAAGATCTGAAGAGAGCCGACTCTCCCTTGGAAAACCCACCCTCTTGTTCTAAAAGAACAGTTTTACTAAATGATAACTCGACCTTGTTACCTCATCACACTTGTAAAATCCAATGTTCAATTAGATAAAGTACACATGAGATGGTTATGGGTACCATTAAAGGGGAGACTTAAGGGTTATTAAATAAAAAGAATGCAAAATGTATTAGCAACTTGATCCTCTGGGTAATAAAATAAGTTTATTTATATATACATGGTAGCTGAATTCTGTGGATACGGAAAAATAAGTCATACATCCACAAATGTATATATAACATATGTATCTTTGATGACATATATTATATATAAATTTTACTTTACAAACAAGTTTTCTCTATACATACGCACACACATCGGCATATTCAATGCAATAGCTAACAGAAATATTATGATAAGGTTAAGGTCAGACAGCAACGTGTTAGAGAGCGAGTCTCGGCACGACATTTAACCTGCTGCTTTTGTGGGTTGAAGTCTTTGAAAAGAGACAAGCAGACTCATGTTAAGAAGGTCCACACAACATTGAGAAACACATGTTACTTTTGAAGGCCACCCTTCTTTCTGAAAGGAGAATGGAGGAGGGAAGGAAGTCGTGGTAAGAAGACCACAGCAACGACACAGACATTGGAATCAACAGTCAGATTCAAGTCCCAATCTGACAATAAGAACATCTATATTCAAAATATACTATCAAACTATTTTCTTTTAAAGGGGAGGGGGTTTGAAGTTAAATTCCTAGCCACGGTGGGTTAGGAGAGGAACAGAGAACATGATTCCTCCAGAAGCCCATCTCGGGTCTCTGAGAGTCTGCTCCCAATTGGCCACACTGGGTTCAGTGTGGGCTGGGACTGCAGCTGGACCTGGACCCGGGAATAGGAGAGGGAAGGCAGGGGGAAGTGAAAGCTGATGGCAAGTTCATGGGCAGGTCTGCAGCGCTTCTGCCTGTAGACAGAATGGCACTTCTCTTGAGTGATTCATTTGGCAATCTTCTTCTTTAAAGATTTACTAGGGAAGGTTAAAAAAAAATAGTTCTACACCACAAGGCTTTCTAGATAAACCTGTTTCTCAGGGGGCACAACATCATTGCCTCCAGAGAGAGTGATACAGAATCTAAATAAACACTTGACCCTTGAACCGGGAAGAACAAGTGTGGCATAGGCCCGAGGCCGAAAGCAGCATCTGTCCTCCCAGGAAGAGAGGCATGGGGTCTAGGGCAGGTGGGGGCGTTGGAAAGGGATGCCGAGAAGGGTTTCTAGGGAGCACTTTTCTGCCAGACAAAGGCAGTCCTGTTTCTTCTAGCATGGTGGGGGCATCCTGTGGGGTGATATAAGGGGGCTGGAACCCCACGATGCCTTGATGTCCATAGGTCCATTAAAGTTGACATTCAGTGATGGCACAGTGAGACTTCAGGATGGCAAGTGCCCTTCTGTTTTGAACCCTTGCTTGTCTTCTGCCTTGGTGCACCAGTCCCCTCTACAAGTATACATACAAGGAGACAGGAAATGTAGACATATTGAGTCAACCATAGCTCCAAGAACAGACAAAGGACCACTCACTTGGCCATCATCACATTCAGCTTCCATGGGAGACTTTCCTCACCTGCCCAGGGCTCCTGAGACCCCTACATGCCCAGAACAGTCAAGAGAAGCAATCAGTGCAACTGCTTTGCTTAGAAATACCTTTATTTTATAAAGCCATGGGTCATTCTGTAAATTTTTTTTTAAACCACACTTGTAAAAAAGATGTTGACAATTCTTAAGAAAAAAAGCTGAAAATGTTATTAAGTCAGGGTTACACAAAGGTTATATTTATAATATATATATTTGTATATTTATAATTTAGAGACAAAAAATAGGGAATGGCAACTCGGAGGCTGCTGCATCTAGATCTCCGAAACTTGATCGTTTCCCACGAACAGTGTTTCCTGGCAGAAGGGGTTCACGAGGACCATCCCAGTGTCTCGATAGTCGCCATTGGCTGGGGAGCGGGGCTCTGAGAGCTGGTCCTGGGGGGAGAGGGAGGAAGATGGTGTGAGCTGGGGATGGAATGAGGGCTGGCTGCTCTTCAAGCAATGCACAGGTATAGCTGGGTGTGGTGGCACACACAACCCCAGCACTCCAGAGGATGGCAAGTTCAAGGCCAGCCTGGGCTACATAGTGGGAGACTGCCTCAACAAAGCAAGCAACTAAGCACACCAATAAGGAACTAAATACATATGCACGCACATGCGTGCACGCACATACACTGATGGTTATTTCTGGTCAGATTAGCTGGATTTATAATCACCTCTGGGAGTGTCTGGGATGGATGATTTCAGAGAGGACTAATCAAGGGGGAAGAGACCCCCCTGAAGGCAGTGGCAGAATTCCATGGTTTGCCCCAAACAGAATAAAAGTGGGGAGTAAAAGGGGGAAGCCACGTGAGCGTCAGTATTTCTCTGCCCTGTGGCACTGGCCATTTGGCCACTTTGTGAACTGCGCTCTTCCACGGTGACTGCCCATGACGAACCGAACCCTCTGGAACCATGAGCACAACAACTTCTCCTTTAAGTGTTTCTGTCAGGCAATCTGGCCACAGCAACAAGAAATCGCCCAATATGTGCACTTTCATTTCAGGATGGCTGGCTTTATGTTCTTATCTAGGCCAGAGCCAAGGTGCAGAGCCTGCATCCAGACTTAAGTTCTGAAAAAGGGTTCTTGCTTTCCTTGTGCAAGTTCAAGGCTCACTATGTAAAACACACACACACACACACACACACACACTCAAACACACATACCACACACACACACCACACTACTCTCACACACCACACCCACCGCGACACCCACCCACCCCTTACTGCCTTAGTGAGCAAAGGTTGATGTCCTTGGACTCCGGACTCCACTTCTTGCCTCTTCCTCAGGCAAATTCGCAGCTCTTCCTTTCCAAATACACCAATCAGCACCACCCATCCCATAACTACCCTTCAGAGTCTCACAGGCCCACCAGTCTTCACAGCCCAGTTCATCCTCCTCCTAAGCCCCTTCCCCCACCCCTGCATCCTGGTGAGAATCACTGCCCCCTGTCATGAAGCAACACAAGAACCCACATGGACAGATGGGATCTCTCTGCAGCAGTAAGCTATGAGGTGGGTGAAAACAAGGAAAGAACCCCCCTCCCCACCCCCAACCTCAACCTGTCAGCCCCAGGGCGGAAAGGCCTTTAAACAGGCACTCCATGCTGCTCGGAAGGGAATCTCAAGGCTCTGACAGGGTTTCCATCCAGTGACTACAAGCACTTGCAGGCTACTAATGGCAGGTCCCAGATCAGGGAAAAGACACACCAGCCAACGCCTGAGGAAATGCCAAACCACCAAAGTCTCAGAACTTCCAGGCCGTTTCAAGGCAAGTGGACTCAAAACGCAGCAACAAGCCTGTGTATGCTGGCCCGGGCTAGACTTCTCAGAAGTGGCTTCATTTATGAAGCCACAATTCATTCTCTGAAGTTTATCTTTAAACAAAACGGACAAAAGGCAATTCCCGAGGAAGAAGGGCTGGCTGCTTTATGGATGGTCCGGAGAAGAGGGAACTACGTTGTTGATAAAACGTCTTTTCAGGAGATAGGCATGTCTCTCAAGGGCTGATCTGGCCAAGTCCTGCTAGGAGGGTGCATGGAAGCCTGGCTCTCCTAATTATGGAGAAGAGACAGAAGTCATTTTCTGTGCTCTTGGGCTGAGCTGTGAGGGGTTTGGAGGTTGAAAGGCGAGTGAACCTGGATGGGGGGTGGAAATGTATGGGGCACTGCATGAAAAGAGAAAGGTATTTAGGAAACAACCAGGACGATAGAGGGGTAAGGGAAGGGAGAAGAAAGGGATGGAGGGAGGAAAAGGAGGAAAAACAGAAAAGTATCCAAGCTCCCTTGGGCACTATGATCTGCCATTCCATCACCACAGCATAGGGTAGCCAGGCACAGAGACACTTTCTTAGGCAAGGCATGTGGGAGGGGCTGGATGGTAGGTACATGTCTGAGGATGCAGCATGTAGGAGAATGTGACCATCCTGTGGGTGCTCTATAGGGCACGCATGTCCCAGCGGTTTCCATCCTGGATCCAAACTACTTACATTTTGGCTTCACACAGCACAGGTTTTGTGAGTTGGAATAGATTATAGTCCTTTTACAAATACAGCAGAACCAAGGGAGTAGACTGTCGGGGTAGGGGTGGGAGAGCAAGGGTACAGTCTGAAGCCAAACCTGGCATACTTCCTGCTGTGGCTTTTGTGGTGCCTTTTATTCTGGAGACTGCAGCCAGGTGGCCCTTCTCCTGGGAGCCTCCTGGACTGGCACAGACCGTAGACTGTAGCCCCCATCCCTTTTGGTTCTACAAGAAGAACACCACGGTGTTCTCCAGGTGGAACTTTTCTACAGCATGTTTCTGGGTTCTTCTCTTCAGTGGTCACTTTCCCATTTACAGAGAAAATCTAAGATATTTAGGCTTCACTGCCCAGATTCAAACCTTTCTCAGGTTTTCCACTCACTAGAAGAAAAATGTGTGCTGGCTTCTCACCCAAACGAAAACCTTCAACGAAGCTTGTATTGCTACCTGCCCTTTGGTTATTAGCTTTTACTGAGCAGCTACTGTTACCAAAGCTCACCCAGATGCCCAGGGAATGGAGGTGCAGGGAAGGCAAGGTACACTGTCACAATAACTCAGCTCAGCTGCCCCTCATCTCTCTCCTGGACCATCTCCAAGGCTTCTGTCTTCCTTTTTGGGCACACCTAGTGAAGCCCAGAAATCCTCCCGCCTCTCAGGAGGGCTTCCTCCCCAGGTTCCCATATGTTTCATCTATTACTATTTTTCATTTGGTTTGCATTTGAACGACACCAAGCTTCATCTCCCAGCCACAGTTCAAAATTGGAAGTCCCCTGAGAGCATGCTTTCATCTTCATAGTTCCCAGACACTGTTTTCCACAAAACAAGTCCTCAATAAACATTCGTTACTTATTCCCAGATAGAACAGCTTTCCCAAACCTAGTGTTCAGAAAGTACCCCAGGGCTCAGACCCCGAGTTCAGTAGGGCTGGGGCAGGGGGAGAAGCTCCTGGCCCACAGGGCACTGTGGAGGAGCAGGCCCTCAGGGCTGAGCAGGTACTCTGCAGCTCTCTGTGTGGAGAGTGGCCGGCCATGGAGGTGTGGGGCTGTTACCTCTGAGGTCTCCAGGGACTGGATCTCCCTTGGGAGCTCCACAGCGTGCCTGTTGAAGTAGTCCATGGTGATGGCATTGTTCCAGTAGCTCAGGTTGTTCTCAGGGTTGGCCGTCTTCTTCCTCCTCCTCATACAGCACACTGTCAACAGGACGGCTGTGGAGAGAGTGCCAGTCAGAGAAGCAGACTTGGGGGGGGGGGACGGGGGACAAACGCCTAAGTCCCAGTGGGGTGCAGAGGAGGTGGAACTGTACCCAGCCACTTACCCCATCCAGTCTTTAAAAGACAGCCTCACGTACCGAAGGCTGGCCTTGAGTTCACTATGTAACCGAGGACGGCCTTGAATTTCTGATCCTCCTGGATCTACCTTCTGAGTGCTGGGATCACAGGTCTGTGCCCCATGCCTGGCTTTTGCAATGCCGGGGACTGAAACCAGGGCTTTGTGCATGTAAGGCAAGCATTCCAATAACTGTGCTAGCCTTCACTTGGTTTTTCAACCACTACCTTTATATTGAGTACCTACTGTGTGCTAGAAACTGTTAATAGTCACCACTGTTGCCGGGCGGTGGTGGTGCATGCCTTTAATCCCAGCACTTGGGAGGCAGAGGCAGGCGGATCTCTGTGAGTTCGAGGTTAGCCTGGTCTAGTCTACAGAGTGAGTTCCAGGAAAGGCACAAAGCTACACAGAGAAACCCTGTCTCAAAAAAAAAAAAAAAAAAGTCACCAGTGTTTTCCTAAGTATCAATCTAAGTATCAATCCTACTGGGTGCTCGCAGAAGAGGTCAGATGATACATAGGTAATAAAATGAATCGGGAGATTTCAATAGGGATGGCTATCTAGTAAAGACAAAATGGCCAAGTGAGAGAGGCTGCTTTAGTCATGGGGTAGCCTCATAGCAAGGGGACTGGCATCATAGGGAGGAGCTGGGCTCAGGCAGAAAGGGCAGTATGTTCCATGATTTGGGGACCGGCATGTGCAAAGAAAAGACCAAAGTGTGGACAGCCCAGGTGTGTGTGAGGAAAGAAAGATTAGTATGCCACAGAGTATACGGTGAGGTAGGAGGGGAGGCCAGGGCAGTGTTGAGAGGTGTACCCCAGGGCTTGGGGAAGGGAGGTTGCATGCATTTGGGGGATATTTGTGATTGCTGCAGAGCTGTGCTTTTAGTATGTGTCAAGCAAGGGCTTTGCCTAGGTTCACCAGCACCAGAACCTTCCACAGTGAAGGGATGGGTGGGGACTGTATGTACCTGACTGACATCCTGAAGGTGCCAATCATCTCAGTGCCTGGGAATGGAGGCCCAGGCTGCTGTGTTCCGAGGCCAGCACCAGGGGGCAGCAGAGGGCCAGCTCCCTCGGAAACACTCAAAGGGTTTGAGCAATACAGGGTGAGTTCACTGTCAGGCAGCAGGGCAGCTGCAGAAGCTGGCACATTTAGGAGCGGAGTCCTCAGAGCCCAGGCTCCAGCCCTGGGGGTTCTCTGGAACATTCTGTCACTTTCCTCCCCACCACTGGCCCCCCTGGAGACCATCTCTAAACAAAGTCACCAGGCAGCCTACATTTGCATTTTGCCTCATCTGCTTTGGACAGGAAGACTAGCCACTTGCTAATCAGGCCTCTAAAGTGCCATTGAAAAGTCCCTGACACATGGAGGGGGCTTCTAAATGGACTCGAGGGGATTGCAGAGACTGGATGGCATCAGACTGTTCAAATTTTGTAGCTCTGTCTTTCCCTTGAATCCTTCCAAAGCCCTTTCTCCACTGCTTGAAAGAAGGAAGGGGCAGAGGTTGGCTGCAAAGCCCAACGTGGAAACCACCTCTTCACTCTGCTGGGAGACACCATGGTCCCTTCTCTCCCTTCCTGTTACCTTTATTCCTCATAGCCACCAGTCTCTGCCTCTGAAACATCAAGGAGGAAATGGCCAAGCCACTTCAAGCTAGTAAAGCCAAATCCCCAGAGAAGTAGAAATGCTTAGGAAGTGAAGACACAGGTTTTCTCAGCTCTGCTGAAGCTGGAGCCCAGGGGGAAGCGGGAGTTGTCAGGGATAAACAGCCACTTTTCTCTTGCCCTTCTGCGACGCTGTCTGACATCACATCACATCACACACTTCATTGCCACAGGCTGTAAACAAGGTGGGGGAGGGGAATGTCCTCAAAAGGCACATCTCTGAGGAAGTGGGCCATTCATGCCCTGGAGACCCCGTGAGTAGTCACAGGCAAGCAAGCAAGATCAAGGTGACAGAGAAGGTCTTGGAGACTGTCTGGTCCTGTGGTGAAAGGCATGTGGGGGTTAGAACCCTGTCGTTAACACAATGCTTGCAAACCCGAGTCCAGCATTTGACCTCTCGGCCTCTGTGCAGCTCACATGCAATCCTGCACGCAGGAGAATTCCGCCCAGCATCTGGTGACTTTTCTCAGCTGCTATTCTTAGTCTGAGAAGAAGGGAGTAGGAATCCAGAGAGATGAGCATCCCCAGGCCCTGCTGCCGAGCTGGCCGAGCATGCCCATTGCTGTGTCTCAGATGCCACACTGTCACTGCCTCTGAAGCCTGGGTCTACGCAGAGTGCAGTGATCCTGTCTGTAGAAGGGCTGGTGGCTTCTATTTATTTATCTTGGGAACTTCCTAGTGTTTCTCACATACCTTCTATTTGAGAGATGTAGAAACATGGGCTCCGTGATTGTGAGGGTCTTAAGGCTAATGCTCTGTGTTTAGAACTTTTATTTCAGTGGTCTGACCTTTCATCTAAGAGAGAAAGGTACAGCTGGGCCTTACGGAGTCTAATGTGCACTCAGCACTATGTAGTCGACAGGCCTCTTCAACCCACACAGTCACAGTGTGAGAAAGGCATGGTTACTCTTCCCATGTAGGGAGGTGGTAATGGAAGGCCACTGAAATGAACATTGATCAAGATCACCTGGCTGATTTCACTACCTTGGACCTGGGCTTTGGTAACTTCAAGATGCTTATTGTCTCCTGCCACTCTGCACACCAGAGGGAACACACAGTATGGCGTTAGAAGCCCTTTGTAAGCCAGACAGTGAACACAAGGTGTGAGCCACGTATCCATCTAGCCAAGGAAGCAACCGCGTCATGTCTCCAAAGGCAGCAGCTGTTGAGACTACAGGGAATGAGTGGGGCTCCTCTGTCCTGCAGCTCTAGAACAGCCCCAGGAGTGAAGCAAGCTCTCTTGGCTTCCCCAGGAACCTTCTGGGACCTATCAGCTGTGTGACAGGAAGAAGGGTCACCGGTATGAAGTTGGAGCCCCAGGTACTGTGATCACATGACAGGACCTTGTGGGTGATGAGAAATGGTCATCAAAGCCCACAGGTCCCCCCAAAGGCCCAACCTTTTCAGTCATCCGCTGAACTGCCAGCTGCCAGGCCTGTTGGAACGTGCACTGTGAATCCTCAGGGGATGAACCAGCCACCCCTCCTCACTGTCGGTTCTTGAGCACCTTCCCCACAGCAGCCCTGACGTAAGACCTCAAGAGCATGCTCCCTGATTTTTAGGGGTCTTGGAGGTAGCACAAGTGTGGAAAGGCGCTGCCCACACCCCCTGCCCCTCCAGATTCACCACCATCCCTGTGCCCGTTCCCAGAGGCCTGCACCATGACTGACTATGGCAGGGGTAGCAGAGCACGCTCAGTCCCTTAGGACTCCTCTACAGCTCAAGGACTCCCACTGGCCCAGGAGAAACACGCTCAGATATTCCATCCTCATCATTCCCCATCTTTTTCCATGGCACGAGGGCTGCATTTCCGTGTATGACTTGCCTTGCTTCCTCTAGCTCTTCCTGGGTGTCTTATAGCTGCCTTGCATGCCCAATTCCATCTTGGTTCCCCCCTCTTAAAGGGACCTGAACTAACGCAGCAGACACCCCTCTCATCCAAAAGAAGAGAAAGTGTAGGAACACTGGTTAAGCCCACAGTCGAGAGGTAAGAGCTGGGTGTGTGGGCAGGTGTGTTTGATTCCACAAGCCATTTTTAGTACTGGACGACACTCCATAAAGGATTCAAGTGGCAGCAGATGGGGACTGGAATGTGTTTCGGCACCTGTGCCCTGGATATAAGGCTACAAGCCTCAGGAAACTAAGGGGCTAAGTGTCTGGCTCCTCATCCTGGTGTGTGGCACTTAGGTGTTTAGCAGTCTAGCAGGGGACACTACCTTGAAGCCCAGAGATAGCTATTTTAGCCTGCCAGGGTTATGGGCAAGGTGGCAATCCATGGACAACCCTGCCTTGCTCTGTACCTTCTCCTCTCATTGGTCCATAATCACAAGCAGACTGGGTGTCTAGCCACACTTCCTTTGGGTCTGTCTTTTCTGCTTCATGGTAAGAATCAATCTAACCTAAGTTTTCTTAAATGGCAATTACAAAGCTAGTTGGGTCCTGTGAGTAAAATTGCATCTCTCTCCCTCACACACACAGACAATGCACATGTGTGTGTGTGTGTGTGTGTATTCATAGCTAACATTCACTGAACGATGAGCACAGCTAAGAATCATGAGCCCTATAACATGTCATCCCTTAGAATATTGGTCCAGAGTCTAGAAGAAACCCTGCTCTGGGGCAAGGTGCATGGTCAAGGCCGGGTAGCGGTTCCCCTGCTCTGGGGCAAGGTGCATGGTCAAGGCCGGGTATCGGTTCTCCTCTGCCCTGTCAGGCTGAACTTGGATTGGTGGTACAGCACACCAGCATGTCCCTGGCTTCCTTTTCTAATCCTCCCCAAAGCTCCAGCTTCTCTGGGGTGGGGGGCATGGCTGGGAGAAAACACCCCCAGTGTGAGGCCAGGGAGCTCAGCAGCGCCTCCAAACGGTTCTGTGAAAACCTGGTGAGCAGTGACCAACGGCAGGCCAGAGGCTGCTAACAGGAGGCGGCAGGTTCTGTGCATCCTGATGGTGGCAGCAGAGACCAGTTCAGCACCCACAGGGCTCCTGGCCCTAGCTCACAGTGGCCTGGAGCCAATCAATTTCAGTTCTCAGCACATCTGAAGCAGAGTTGGTGGAGAGTGTCTGGCAGGGCTCGGGAGACAAAAGCACTCCTCAGCTCTTGCACACTGATGCCCTTCCAGCCACTGAGAGGGCTTGTGATGTGGAAGGTGGGTGGGCTGCTGACCTTCCATCCCTGTACAGGCTCAGAATTCGCTGTTCTCATCCCTCACTTTCATTAGAACTAGGGGAATCGCCCTATGACGAACAAGCACAGGGTGGAGAAAGCGTAGCTGGGGTTGAGTCCCTATTGCTCTGAACAACCTGGCTTCTCTCCTAGCCCCTTCCGCTAGAGGTGATAAATTCTATACTCGCACTTTGCTATCAGCCAGACTGCCTAGAATACCTGACAGTCTGGGAAGGGCTGGAGTCCACTGTGACGTCTGTAGAGTAGCGTTGGGGTACACAGACCGTAGGGAAGGTTGGAACATGGGCCATCAGGCCTCAAAGAGCTCAGCTTGTCTGATCATTAGATAGGGCAGGACTATGGAAACATCCCAAACAGATGAAAATTTCTGTGAACAGCGCCTAGAGTTCTGAGACTGGACAGATATTCCCTGATTGTGGTCAGAGATGGCTCATAAATGCTATGGCTGTGACCAAGGACACAGCTTATGTAGAGGCAGCCAGGGCCCAGGGCCGAAGTGAGGAGCCACTTGTATAAACGCAGAAACACCAAGAAAGTGGGCTCTGTGGTCCCCATGGGGCTATAAATGTCCAGCATGAACCAAACCAGATCTTTAGAAAGTGTGTCTCCCCTCGCGGCCCCCTGAATCTGAAGGCTGCTCTTGGAGCTCTGAATTGTCCTTGAGGGGCAGTTTGGGGCTGCGTCTCTGTTCCTGCCTTGATTGACATCAGTTTACTAACTCAACAGTAGAGTGTGGGTGATGACCGAAGTTTCCTGACACCTCGGTGCTGTGTATTCTTGCTTATTTTCTCTAGATAGCGTAGGGATAGAATAAGACATACCTAGAACTCCAACTGTAAACTAGAGCATCCAACAAACTTGAAAGATTATATAAAGCAGTTCTCACATTAATAATGTGCTTATCGATAGTGCTACATTTTCTCCATCTCATCCCTCTTTTAGAAGCAAGCAATAACACCTGAAAAATTACGTATGCTCCCACCACAGACAATAAGGCTGCTCTCACTGAGCATGAGGCATCACCAACTTTACACATTCCCTGAACTGGGTCCTGGAGCAGACGTGGCCTCCCAGCCCTGACACAAGGTCTGTCAGTAAAGCTGGGAGAAGCAGTGTTTGTGGTGATGAGTGGAAGGCTGGCCATGTCAGGGGCTGTCTGTGCTGACCTGTGACACCAGGGGAAGGTGGCATCCTGGCTTCACAGCCTCTCTGTGGGAAGCCTTGGGGCTTCATTTAAGACCAAGGTTAGCCCATTGGGTGATCCTAAGCCTGTTGAACCAACAGGATTGATGGCCAGCACAGGCTCTGTTAATGTGGCTAAAGTGTTCCCTACTGACTTCCCTGGTATGCCTGGTATAGATGGGATGTTGCACTTGTGAGGGACCAGGGATAAAGAGGTGATCATTCAGAGGTGGCAGATATAGCAGGTTTGGGCAATACAGTTCTATGAAGGAGACCCTGAGGGTCATGGATGAGGAGGAGCATTGGTCAAGAATTTTGCTCCTTGAGAGCCATTCCAGTGTCTCTGGGACTGAGGTGGACACCACTTAGGGACTGCAGGGTGAAAATGGCAAGGCAAACGAGGTTCTCAAGAGAGCCTGAACATGAAAGGCCAGAACAGGCTGTCCAGGGAGTGAGGAGCATGGGGTGACATCTTTAATGGTAACCATTTGAGGTAGGGTAGGGTCGAGTCGAGTGAAGATCCTCTGGAGACAGAGTATGACCTGGGAAGCCATAAGGTTCTCATTCAGGTTCTCAGAGGCCTTTGTGGGTTCTTGAATGTCTCCTAACTCCTCACTCTCAGAGGGACAGGATGCTGCAGAGGGGTGTGGGTTGCCATGGAGTAGAGAATTACGCAGTCCACAGTGCATGGAGCTCGCATTACTATGAAGGGTAAAGCAGGCTGGGTTGTGTAGGGATGGAGATGAGCTAGAATCCACGTAACTCTGAGGCCTTAATTGAGCCGGTTCATTAAGAACTGGGCTTTGGCCAAGGCTGATGGGACTTCCCAGCACACGGAAGCTTTATCTCTTCTTCCTCAGGGGAGGGGAGAGAAGACAAGATGGAGAAGCAGGAGAGGGTGGCTATGACTTTTCCATCCATAGCCTGTTAACTCCCCAGGGCCACTCGTCACCCATGGTGCCTGGTCCCTTGAGGCAGGGTAGTAATCATCCTAGGCAGGAAGGACAGATGTTTCAAGAAAGGGCTGCAGCCCTGCCACCCACTCCCTGCCACCTGGATCCCAGGCAAGCCAAGTCTCTTTGCTAGTTTGGTGTTTCTGCAACACGTGTGGCTGGCCAGCTCTGGGAATTGTGGCTTTATGATCCATGGACATTTGAGTTATACCCTGGACCAGGGACAGGGATGGGTGGGCCATGATTCTCCCCTTGCTGTCTCCTTTGCTGGGATCTAGGGCTTTCTTTTTTTTTCTTTTTGGTTTTTTTCGAGACAGGGTTTCTCTGTGTAGCTTTGCACCTTTCCTGGAACTCGCTTTGGAGACCAGGCTGGCCTCGAACTCACAAAGATACGCCTGCCTCTCCCTCTCGCATGCTGGGATTAAAGGCATGCGCCACCACCGCCGTGGCAAGGGCTTTCTGTAGCTCACTCAGTGGGGCTACCTAACTCCAGGGCAAGAGTCTGGGGGATGGGGATGTTGACAGGAGAAAGAGCAAAGAGAGGAGGGTACTTACAGCAGGAAGAGATGGGCACACTGATAGCCAGAATGACCCAGGCAATATCCATCTTGCTCAAGCAGATGGTGGTTCTGTGCTGGGGCTTGTCCCCCTCAGCCACATGGGAGATGTTGCCCACTGTTCCCGGCTTCCAGGTCCCAGCAGGGACCAGGCGGTTGAGGAAGTTTCCCGTGGCCGTGGACAGCACTGTGGACAGAGGTCTGGGCCCCCTGTCGGTTGTGGTGGGGGAGGCCTCAGTCTTCTCCTCGGCTGGAGAAACAGTGCTTTCTGAGACCCCAGAGGGCCAGGTTGGGGCCTGAGGGGTTGCCGATGCTCCCTGAGGGATGCCCTGGGAAGGGACTGAGACACTGGCCTCAAAGGCAGCCTGGGTGGGCCCCGTGGCAACCGTGGAAACCCCAGAGCTGGCAGACGGGGGTCTGTCAGTGTCAGGGGTGACAGCAAGCCAAGAGTCACTGTGGCTAGGGCTGTCCTGCACGTCACCGTGAGGGCGCTGAGAAGGCACTGGGGCAGGCTGTGTACTGGCAGGGGTGCCTGAGGCTGCTGTGGCATCCGGCTCCCCTGCTGGGCTGGTCAATGTGGGGCCACTCCCCTGGTTGGCTCTGATAAGGCCTGGCTTGTCCTTTGCAGGTACCAGGGAGGTTGTGGGGGGCACCCATGAGGTGCTTTTGGGTGCTGTGGCTGGAGACACTGTCTGGGGCTGTGGCGAAGAGGAGTAGCCCCAGAGTGGGGTCCTGGGGGTAAGAGCTGAGGGGTCCGGCTCCACAGACCCTGTAAAGTTACCCTTGTAGATCTGGAAGATTTTCCCCAGAGGACGCTTCTGCCCCAGGTGTGTTGAGCTCTGATTTCGTCCCCTCTGGCCTTCCTTCCTTGCTGAGTGGCTACCGGGTACAGGTAGGAGAGGGCGAGATGAACCACCAGCCCCCTTCCTGGAAGAGCCTGGGGGTCTGGGGGGTCTACGAGTGGTGGCCCGTGGGGGCATCGTGGGGCGGCTGGTGGCTCCTGCTGGCTTTGTTGGCAGGATGGCAGGGGCAGCATCCCCTGGGGGGTGGCCCTCAGAGTGGGAGGATGTGGTTGCCATGGCAGCTGGAGGGGAACCTGTGGGCAGAGGGCTTTCAGGATGGGGGATGGCAGCTGTCACCATAACAGTGGACATGGTGTCTGTAGGAGGATACCCTTCTGGATGAGAGATTGTTGTTTCCATAGTAGCTGCAGCCTGTGAGGTGGGTCCATCAGGTTTGGGGTTCAGTGTCACCATGGAGGAAAGTCTGGTAGTGCTGTGAGATGCTGTCACCATGGTGCCTGGGGGGCTGCCTGAGGGAAGGGTCTGCAGAGATTCCCTGGGAGATGGTTCCTGGACGGCGAGTACCAGAGCTTTGGTCAGTGCCAAGGTCAGGAGAAAGCCTGTGGGGGAGAGAGAGGACAGAGGTGAGGAACAAAGGTGTTGGGCACAGCCAGGTCATCCTCACTGAAGACTTGGAGACATCTCTGGGGAAGCAGGAAGGATCTCTGGGGCATTCTTTAGGCCACCCTCGCACTGAGACACAAGAACTGTACGTGCAGCTGGGGAAAGTCTGTACAGAGGGAGGAGGGTGCTACCTATCATGGAAGATGGCAGCACCGGGTGACCCCGAGGCAATCAGACCAGCCAATCCCACCCTTTGCCTAATTCCCCAGAATGCCACCAGCCCCCTCCCTCAGTGCATTGTCTTGGAATGGGAGCCTGGGAGACTTGTCACTGCAGCTGGGGAGGAGTCATGGCCAGCCTGACCCAGGAGCCGCTCACAGCCAACTGGGGAAGGCTTGGGTGGGCGAGCTGACCAACTCCTCCTAGACCTTTTCTTGAACAAGAACAAAGTGCCAATGTCAGACCCCTGCTCATTCAGACTTGCTTACCCCAGAGTACAAACAGGGCAGCCCCCCCCCCCAGACCCACAGATGACCCTGAAGTAAGCAGAGATGTCCTGGTGAAATAGGAGCGTGATGGGCAGAAGAAGGCACTGGTCCAGAGAAGGGCAATCAAATCTAGCTTTCCTAACACCACAGTAGAGTCTGGGACAGAAAATGCTGTGGAAAGACCACTGCCTATTGAAGTTTTGGCATTAAGTGCTTTCCCTATGGTTCCTCATGTAGCTGAACTTGGGGAAGTCCTCATTGGTACTACTTGGTCTTTTTGAGTCGGAGGAGCCCTTCTGAACAATAAAGAGGGTTGCATAATAATGTATGCCTTATAAGTTTATTGAAAAAAAAAGCAAAAGCATAAAAATCAGAGTTTGAAAGCATTCCTGAATATAAACAGTTTCATAACCACAGCACCATGTGCCAGTAACCCTGCACGTCGACAGAACACATGGGATCATTGAGATCCTGGGCTGTTGTAGCACACGGGTTAGGGAGAGCTGGTCTCTGTTCCCGATGGGTGGTGGGACATTCTAACAGGGCCCGATTCTGTGATTCTCAACACCTCCGTGTTCATGTGCATTCCGCGGTCATTCTTGGACTTCGTTTCAACCCTATCTAGACCCTAGAGAGCAGGCAGAGATCTGACAACTCTCTTGGAGGCTTTCTGTACTTCACCACGCTCCAGCAGGGCAAGCGGATTCCCGCACGAATTCTGGGATGGGCAGCAAAGCCGCTAGCAGCAGGAGGCAGGGTCCTGCTTGGCATTCATGGGAGTTTGGCTAGCCTTGAGGAAGCAGAGAGGGAGGAGCCTGGAGAAAGTGTGCCTGGAGCACCATTCAGTGTGGGGTGGTTTGTGGAATAACCCTTGGACCTAATATTCACAGCTAAGCCAGTACTGGGGAGGTTGGGGGAACCTTGTTTTTAACAGAGGCAACAGCGCCTACTGTCTCCAGGACCAATGGACACCCTAAGCAAGCCAGTTTTCTACACTTTCATTCACAAGTCAGCCCACACACTTGCAGTGCATTCTGCTCATTCAAGTCAGTCCTAGCAACCACTTGACAGGGTGGGAAATGAAAGCCCGGGGAGACAAGGGAACATGTGTGTAGTCACACAGTCTCAGGAGCATGTGGAGCCAGGGCTGTCTCTAAAGCATATGCTTTTCCTAGTTAACTGCCACCAGTGATGCAGGGGGAGGTGGAGGCCCATCAGCTGTACCCACAGCAGAAGCAATATGCTACTTTGTTCTGATCTGTTCAGGGTTATTATTCCAGCCCCACAAACCCACACCTTGGAGCTTGGCACCATGGGGGTGGTCCTTGGTGGTGGCAACCTTCAATGTGTGAGGGACATTCTGCTACAAGTTGGTCTCATGACTGTTAGCTGACCAATTCCCCCCTCACCCCCCCCCCCCCCCCCCCGCCCGCCTCCAATGCCAGAATCTCAGAATGTGCCTATTTGGAGAGACATTCAAAAGGGAGATTCAAATGAACAGAGGTCAAAGGATGAACCATAACACAGTTTGACTGGTACCCTTCTAAGAAGAGATGGGGCATCAGGGTGATAACAGGGTCACAGAAGGATCCTCTTGTGAGGGCAGGGCAGCAAGTGGGAGGCTGTCAGTGATTCAAGGAAAGGGGCCAATCCTGGTACCACAAGAACCCAATCCTGGTACTACTTTGATCTTGAAACGCCAGCCTTCAGACGCTTGGGGGAAATAAATATCTGGTTTAAGTCATTCAGAGAGTGCTATCTTGGTACAGCAGCTGGGTACAAGCCTTTTGTATTACAGCACTTCTGAAATCGGGGAGATAGGGACAAAGGGCATGTGGGTAAGTGGTTTACATTGGGAGATGATGTGAAGGTCAGTCAAGGGGGCTGAGGTTGGTGAAACAGGGAAACCTGGCCCGAGGGAAGCTGGGAGCTGATGGTAGCGCCCCAGTCTCACTAGGAACACCTCACATCATGTGCCTTAAGGAGACACCCTCACCCCTGCTTTTTGGGTGCTCATCCTACCCTCCCCACCCCTTGGGCATCACAAGGCTGAGTTAGGGAGGTCTTCGGTCCAGGGGTTCTGGCAGGTCATAACTATGTCCACTGGGTGGCTGCTGCCGTAGCTAGAGTTAACATTAAGTCCCCTGAGGACCGCCGAGCTGGAGCACAGAATGTGTCTGGTGGTCAGAGCCCTAGAGCCAAGGACATTATGTTGTTTTGGCTTCAGAGTCACCAGCACAGAGTTTGGGGAGAGATACCAGCTAATCCCAGGGCCAAGCACACAGTGGGAAGCAGAGCTACCAAGCCTCCAGCAGAATGTCATCAGAACACAAGGCTTATGCTGCTCGGGGGTTTAAAATGGTTAGAGAAAGAAATTCCCCTGATGTCCTCACTAGGAGCCTACGGGGGCTCAGATCACCCCAGCCAGACCCTGTGACTGTCCTTACTGCTACTGCTTTTCAGGTACCAGACTCCCCAGACATTTCCTTCCTCCCTAAGTAACCTGTAAAATTTCTTCTCCATTCACGCATTTAGACTCCAATCTTTGCTACTATACAAGCATAAATTTATTCCTGGTGCCATGGGGCTTTGGTTAGCATAGTGAGGAGCCCTAGAGTTCACCTAAATCAACCTCTTCACTGTATAGAGAGCTGACCAAGTGGTGTGGTTTGTGCAATAGCACTTGGCTAGTTGGGGAGTGTGGTGTAGCCATTTGGGAGACTCTGGGAGCTCATGAAACTCAGAAAACTTATGTGGCACTTCCCCAGGTTTATGCAAGTAACAAATGTTTGCAAGGGGAGAGGAGACTGTTAGAACTGCCTGAAAGCATCAGGGAATCTGGGATGCAGCTTTCCGGAACTGTCATTTAAGCCAAAGTGGGGCTTTGAATTGCCCATATTCCTAGCCATCAGTTCACCGAGTTAGGTTTGGGTGGAATCATTTCTTTGGTTTGCTATTGTGCCCTGAATGGGGTGACCAGACGTTTGTTCATGTCTCCCCAGGAAAAGTCACACAACAAGGAGACAGCCTGGATCACAGCCATTATTTTAAAAATAAAAAATTTCATTTGTATCATAAAATAGCTACAAGGGTTGAACTGTCCACCTCCTTTAACCTTACTGTCACCTTGAATATGGAAATGAGACAAGAGCTTGCACCCTTTCTCCTTAGCACAAAAGGTTAGCAAATGAAGGATGTGATGTGTACTGTCACAATGAATGTGCAAGGCCTTCAACCAGGGGCTCCTCTAACACATGCAAATTTTCATTCAAGGCCCTTTGTACTGGCCTACACACTCCCCTCCCCACAATCTGGAGTGACTGCCTCTTTGCATATCATTTGCATGGATTTGCATAATGGACTCCTGAGACTAATTCCAAATATGTAAGAGTCACTAAAACTAAAATCTAGCTTGACATACTTAAAATGTAGAGCCAAATTTAAAAAAAGTGTCAGAGTAAGGATAAGTATGGGGGGATGGGGGACAGTCGGAGCCCATAGACTGATGGGTGCCCAGATGTCACAGGAAGGCGGCCTCCTCCCTAGAATTCCCATGCACATGTCATCTCAAAGGATGGAGAGGGCATCCTCCTCCTGTGTGTTTGGTTGGCTGCCCACCGTCCATATTGGGCACTGGCATTTGCATCTGGCACAGACAAGGAAGCTGCTGGAAGGGCAAACCTTTGCAGGCACAGCTGTCCTCGTAGCAGCTGGACAGGGGTGCTCTTATTAGCTCCATGCTGCAATCCACAGAAGGAAGCCCGTGGACCTTGCTGGTGGCCACACAGCTGAGGAATGGGGAGCTGGGATTTGGCAAAGCCTGGCTCTAATGGTTACATTTTCAAGCCCCTTTCATTTAACAGATCTTTTTTGGTTTTTGTCAGTGCTGAAGACGGAACCCCTGGAGTCTTAGGCATGCTAAGCAAGCTTTACCACTGAGCTATACTCCTTACCCTTAACATCTCTCCGCTTGTGTGCAACCCCCCACCCCACCACTACACCTTCCACCTCCATGTTCTGCATGGTTAAAGGCCATGATTTACCATCTTTGGGAATTCATTTTCTAGGTTGGAGTTTTTCTCTCTTACTTGAAAATCGTGTTTAAAAGTTTGTATACAAAAAAAGTTTGTATACATTTGTTATATTGATAATTCATACAAACAAAATAATAAGGAAATTAAATGGAATTCTAAGTATCTTCTTCAGTGGATTCTTCTTCCACATCCAGTTGATAAGACAGGGTACTCTGTCCACTGCCTTTTTAATCCTATCTCAGGCAATCACAGGTGTCCGAGCTACGCCCCATCACTGAGCAAGATGGCAACTTACACATTCCATTTGCTTGATGTGGCTAAGTCACATTTGCATGTTCTGATAAGTCCCTTTCTACTAAAAGATGGCATCTACCTCCTTTTTCGTTTGAGCTGAAATGGGCATTTGTGACCAATCTGCCTTTCCATGTCATAGTAGAGGTCTCATACCTTCTGCATTTCTCTCGGGGACAGTGTTAGTCTTGTATTAGGAATGTAGCTTCCTCAAAGGAAAGAGCATGTGGGGTGTGACAGGAATTTCCTGAGGAGTCCCTGCTGCTCTAGCCTCAGCCAGGCACCAAATGTGACAGTGAGGAAGCCTACAGGTAGCCCTGGGCTACCACTGGACGGCCACCATGGCGGAGATGCTAATGAGTGCTGCCCAACAGGGTCCAGTCAACCCTAAGATTCGTGAACAACTATAGCAAAATATATTGTTATAGCTTCAAGCCTCTTTACTAGCATTTTTATTTTTCTTTATTCCTTTGAGACAGGATCTCACTATGTAGCCCATACTAGCCTTGAACTTGGGATCCTCCTGAGTGCCGGAATCGATGGCTGTGTGCTACCACACCTGGTGGGCATTTTTATTTTTTTAAACTAGAACATAGTTTAAAGGGTCTGCCAAAGGGCACGAGTCACTGAGTTACAAAGCCACAGTATTGGGAAGCTGGCCCTAAGAGGAGGCATTTGGGACTCAGTCTGCAGGAATGTAATAGTCATTTTTGAGGGCATGGGTTTCTTTTAAAGCAGTACATTGGGCCCCCTTTTCCTCTCTCCTCTCATGGGATGGCAAAGCATGAGGATCCTCCTGGATACTAGCTCTGGACCTTGGACTTCCAGATTCCAGAATGCCGAGGAAACTATAAATTACCTAGCTGGGGCAGTACAAAGTATGCTGGACATTTGGGGATTTAGATTCTGCATCTGATGCACTCATAACACAACAAAAGTGTGCCTCTAGAACAGCAGGTCAGGCCCCAGCTGTTTTCTTTGCTGACCTACAACCTTACCTAGACATGAACTTCCTAATTCCAAAATTGTCTTCTGATCAGAAAGGGATGTCTGGACTATTGTAACTCCATCTGACAGACGAGAAGGCTGAAGGCCCCCCAAAGTAAAATGACTTACAGCTAACCACAGCTGCACAGGGTTAGACGGGGAAGCAACTCAGGCCAACACACTGCCTGGCTAATCGCACTGATGTTCCCAACTTTTAGGACTCTTTACACTCTGTGTTTCCAGGACTCTAGTGTGTTCTGTTCTTTGAATTCCAATGGCTCCTTTTATTTTAAAAACCACATAAAAATTCCAGTTCTTTGGAGCATGGTTATAACTTAGAATTAAATATGCCATCATTGAGTTCAGGAGGACCGGGTCACTGCGCTGAAGGCAGGCAGGCCTCTTGACCTTGACTAAGGAGCCTGCAGCACAGATCTTCGGCGCTTCCCCTTCTCCAGGCAGCCACACTCCACAAGCTCCCTCCCATCAAGTTGGGCATCCATTCTCCGGGCTGAAGGGCAGAAGCTCTGCTCAGCACTCTGAGCTAACTGGGGCCGTCACCTGGTGGGTTCCAGAAATGTCCAGAGATCACCGGTTCAACAGCTGGACTGATGAGATCCATGACTCCACTGGGAACTGCTTCCCAGAGCACAGTCTCTAGAACACAGGCAAGCAAGAAAACCACGTGAATCAGGCCTGTGTGTCCTGACACACCTGTGGCCTCTGGCCAATGTGAGTTCCTCTTATGCTGCAGCTCTGGGAGGCTGGCAGATAATAGCTTTCTAGCCAAACGTGTATGTCTACAACCACATACATGTTCATGCACTCTCTTCTCCCGGCTCTCCTGACCTCACACACATAGAACACAGCCCCTTTTCTGGGAACAAGAAATAGACAATCACGATAAATTTGCAGGTCATGTTTCCCCCATCATCTCCAAGCTATCACGTGGTTAAACCATTTGTCTAAGGTCCAGAGGGCGCCTCGCAGCAGTTCAGGATAAAAGCTCAGGCTTTGATCCTAGACGCTCAAGAAAGATCCTTAAGACTGAGGAATTTTTGATTCGGGGAAAATGTCCTGCATGAGCAGAGGAATGTAGGATAAAGACAATGTTATTATTGAGAATACACCCATTGTTATCAACGACCATAATTTAAAACCCTGTGCTCTCCAATGCAGCAACACACAGGCAACGCCGCAGACTTTTATTTTCAGCCTTTGGTTATCTGCCGTAGTTATTCTGATTTAACCCTAACATTCTCTACCTCGAGTCTTAGAAGGCAACTTTGCGGGGAACCTTGTGTGTGTGGCGGGGGTGGTGGTGGTGGTGGTCACGGTGGTGATGCTTCTAATCTCTGAGCTCCTCTCTCTGATGGAAATAGGCAGGGCTTGGTCTACTTCCCACCTGTCTCTGTCTAAACCACCAGTGTTGGGATGTCAGGTTCAATGTTCTAGTCCTCCTATCTAGCTCAACACCTGAGCTACAATAAATATTTGCTGAAGAATGGGACCCTCTGAAATCTATCTGCTGTGAACACAATGTGACACAATGGCACATCTAAACCTCTCCTCCTCCTTCAAAGTGACTTCGGCATGCCCACTGAGAGGTGGCTTTGTTTCCTCCCCTGGGTGTGGTGGGACCAGCGACTATGGCTGAGTGACTTGTGAGGCTAGACTTGAAGGGTGTGGTCCTTTTCCTGTGTTCTTGGGGGACACTTAGAAGCCAGTGAGCATGCTGTCTGGGAACCTGAGCAGCCCAGAAGGGATCATGTGAAAGGGAACTGAGGCAGAACCGTGGCCTTCAGTACTGGTGAACTTCTAGCTACCAGCCAGCACCATATGGTCAATGGGGATGTGGACATCATAGCCTTAGCCAAACCACCTAGCTAAATCTTTGGCAGAGATAAATGACCCTCTTTTCAAACTCCAGTTTTATGAATGGAATGAGGGATAATTACAGTTTCCAGTCCTAAGTTTAAGAGTAGTTTGCTAGGAACAATGAGTGAAACACCACCCCCACGTGGTATTAAGTGATCATCTTGGGTTTCAACACAGGGGTTCTGCCTTCCTCTTTCTATAGCTCCATGATTTCTGTGATAGATACAGGTTCCCCCCAACCCCCAAAGAAGAAGGAAACATAGGAGCTTGGGACACTCCTACTATCTCCTGTCACACAGGACAGAATAAAGCTGGGAGAAACTGGTCCCTGCAGACTGAAGGTGTGGCCTCCTGCAAGACTGTTGTAGAAGGGAATAAAATCAGCCGAGGGAGCATGTACCGGCAGGCGAAGGGGTCCCTCGAAGACTCCCCAGACCAAGTGAGAGTTGGAATGAGATGGAACAAAAGGCCAAGGCAGCCTTTAATAAGATTACAGGATCATCAGTATTCAGGGGACATCTCATTGACATCAGAGGAGAGAAAATAAGTCCTGAGAGCCTGTGGCTCTGCCCAGTTAACCCCCAGTTAAGGGGGTCCTGAGAATGCTGGAGAGACCAGGGTGGGGTCAGTAGGAAGGAGGGGGAAGCTGTCAGAGTTCTAGTGAGACAGGAAAAGTCCTGGGGACCTACTGTGCAACATGTGACTATAGTGAATGATATGTGCTGCACATTTCAAAGTGACCAAAAGAGAGGGTTCAAATCCCAAGTGTGCTGGTGCACACCTTGAATCCCAGCACTTGGGAGGCTCAGGCAGGTTGCAAGGTTGAGGCCAGTCCACGTTACATAGGGAAACTATCTCAAAAATAAAAGAATTTAAAATGTTTTTCACCACAAGGAAAGTATAAATTTCCAAGTCAGTCAAAAATGAAGTAAGACAGCCAGGCATGGTGGTGCATGCCTTTAATCCCAGCACTTGTGAGGCAAAGGCAGGTGGATTTCTGGTTCAGGGCTAGCCTGGTCTATAGAGTCAGTTCCAGAACAACCAGGGCTACACAGAGAAATCCTGTCTCAAGCCCCGCCCCACCCAAAGCAAGACTTTAGAGAAAATGTTCCATGTTTTACAGTGCTGTGGGATGTCCTTCTGTATGCTGTGAATATGTGTTGCTCTCACTGATTGATAATAAAACTGTTTGGCCAATGGTGAGGTAAGATAAGGTCAGGTGGGATAAACAAACTGAGGATGGAGATGAAGAAGGGTGGAGTTGGGGCAGACACCAGGCAGCCACCAAGGAAGCAAGACATGTAGAAAATGAGGTAACAAGCCACAGACCACATGGCAAAGCATAGATAAGAAATATGGGTTAATTTAAATGTAAGATCTATCTAGTAATAAGCCTAAGCTATTGGCCAAGCATTTATAATTAATATAAGCCTCTCCTCTGAATGGTAATTTGGGAAGTAACTGCTGGGTATAATTGGGCATACAGGACAGAAAGCTCTGCCTCTGGTTACATTACAGAGCAGAGCTCAAGGCCTTCAGCCAGGAGATTAAAGTCAACACTGGCCATGTCAGAGTCATGATAACATGTGGTGGTATTTTACTTGTACTGAAATGTGATTTTAATTGTATGTTAATAAAGTTGCCTGGGGGTCAGAGCTATTAGAGCCATAGCAAGCGCGTGGCGCCGGTGGCGCACACCTTTAAGGACCTGGAGGGTGGTACATACAGGCAGTGACGAGGCAGTCACATGTTTGGGTTTACAACTAATGAGAAGGCAGAACAGTTAGACTATATAAAGACATACACACAGGAAGTAGGTCCCTTTCGGAGAGCTCTCTTGGCTGAAGAGGATCGCTGAATCAGGAAGGGTGAGGCTCTTAGCTCTGACCTCTTGGCTTTCTTCTCTGAATCGGCTCTGTGTTTCTTATTTAATAAGACAGTTGGTTACATCTACATTTAACAGTTTACATATTGATATAAAAATGGCACCTTACCTTTTCAGTTTTCTCCCTTAGGCCTATAATCCCAGTGTGATTATAAAACAAACACCAGAAAAGTCCCAAGTTGAGGAACACTTTACTAATATCTGGCCAATACTCTTCTGATAAGAGTTGAGCCAGCGGGATGGCTCAGTGGTGAAAGTATTTGCTGTATAGCCTGGAGACCTGAACTCCATTCCTGGAACCCACAGAAAGGTGGAAGGAGAGAACCAATTCCAGCTCCATAAAATTGTCCTCTGATGTCCACACATCACACACACAAACACACACATAGATGTCTCACAAGATAAAATCAACTATCCCCAACTCCTAGGAAAGACTTTTTCTATCTCCCTCTCCCTGTGAGGACCCCTCACTGGGAACTCACCTGCGGCCTTCTTGCAGCATATGCCGATAAATTCTCTTTATCTTTCATACCTGTAGTAAATTCTTTCACTGCCATGCCATTGGCCTTCCAGATACTGTCTTGTGCCTTAGGAGACTGGATCCAAAACATCCAGGAACCTCACTACAGACACGAGAGTCCCTTCTTGGCTCAAGGCCTAAGCTTTCAGAAGGTTTTCATTTTTGTGGGGGTTGGGTGTGGAAAGTTGACAAGGTAACTCCATGAAGGGCTTCTCCCAGAGATGCAAGGGACAGGTCTATGGGATGTATCCAAAAATGAGGCAGGGTAGAAAGACAGGAGAAATTGAACAGATGTGGGAAGAGGGAAGCTGCTCATCCTAGGATCTAGTTTGTGTTCCACGCTGGCTGGGAGTCCAGAAACTTCAACACGGCTGATAACATCGGCACTACCCTCAGAGCTAGGGTGTGCTTTCTGTGGTTGGTATTTTCATGTCAACTCGACACAAGCTAGAGTCATTTTGGAAGAGGGAATCTCAGTTGAGAGAATGCCAAGAACACCAGATTAGCCTGTGGTCCATTTTCTTGATTGCCTGGGAAGGGCCCACCTCACTGTGGGTGGTACCACCCAGGGCCAGGTGGTCCTGGGTGCTCTAAGAAAGCAGGCTGAGCAAGCCAGTAATCAGTGTTCCTCCTGATTTTATATATATATATATAGTGAAGTCTATAGCTTCAATTCTTGCCTCCAGGTTCCTGGCCTGTCTGAATTCCTGTTCTGACTTCCCTCAGTGATGGACTGTGATGTGGAACCATAGCTGAAATAAAGCCTTTCCTCCTCCAGTTGCTCTTGGTCATAGTGTTTTATCACAGCAATAGAAACCCCAACTAAGATACCATCCTAAAGACACTCCCAACAAGGATATTAAAAGCAATAACGTGCTTACACCAGTTTCATGGCTTTGAGTTGAACTGTATTAGCACTCCTTTTTCATCTACAAATCTAGATAAAACTGCCTTACAGTGTCATTTACAATAAGACCAACCAGTAAACTAGCTCATATATTGCATGCTTACTATTTTTTATTTGTGTGCACATGTGCATTTGTGTATATGAATGAATGCCACAGTGTGCATGTGGAGGTCAGAGGGCAACCTTGGATGTGGGTCTTTGCCCTCTACCTTGTTGGTTTCCCTACCCCCTGCTCCTGTGCATGACAGGTTCATCGGCCTGTGAACTTCTGGGGATTCTCCTGGCTCTGCCTTCATTTGTTCACTGGCAGGAACTCTCAGATCACAGATGCTTACCCCGTGTGCCTGCCTTTTATGTGGGTTCTGGGAGTTTGAACTCGGATCTTCACGTGTGTCTACTGAGCCATCTCCCTAGTCCCATTTTCTCCTTTAATTTTAAACTCTACTTACTATTAAAACTTTGCTTAG